CACCTGCTCTCAGAACATCCTTTCTCACTCCTTTCATAAGCCTCTTTCAATTGTAGATTATCTGTATCTATCATGTCTCATATGCAAATACTCAAAGTATTGTTGCCAATCATGTGGAGTGGTTCAGGCTGGCTTATGGTGAGAGGGAGATTACAGATTTGGTTCCAATGCTTTCTCAAGTGGAGTTAGGCTGCTGTTATACAGCTGTGACCTTAACTAAGGGAGCAGGGCAGTGTGTGTATATTTGTTTCTGCTACATGGTGATAAACATTCCACTGCTGACGGGAAATGCATTGTGTTAATGGAGAGTCCCAACAGGCACATGAGCCATATCTTTGTGTGTCTTTGTATCCGTGCATGTGTTGTATCTTGAAATGTCTGTAGGTGATTTATATATTTCTGAATCTGAGTAAATGTGTTCTGAGTTTATTGCACACCAGTTCAAATTCCAGCCTGATGACACCATAAGGCAGTTGCTCCCTAGTGCTTCCTGATTAACAATTATTCCAGTGTTTTCCATATCTCATAACCCATAAAGGACAGAACTGATTCACTTCTGCTTTAGGGAGAATCTCTTGCCTAGAGATGCTGAAGGTTATGCACATGACTTCCATGACATTATATTATGAACTAAGCTTGTGTATGCTTCTCCCATGAGACGTCCACCTCTGATGGGAACCGCACAGGCCTGCATATTGAGAGAAGTCATGTGTTTTTACCAGACCACTATTGTGGCTTATAGGTGTCAAGAGAGAAAGGTTTCTACGGGACAAAAAAAACAAACATCTTACACTAGAAAATATCCTTTTTGAATATGTGGAACCAGGGCTGTTTTTCATATTTACACACATTGCACAACCGGCCTGAATGCGAGCATTGATTTGAAGCCGTCTGCTACAACAGCCATTAGAAAATATTGGCAACATATTATTCAAGCACTGCTGTATGAAGCCAAAAACAAAGCAGTGGGGTCATAGAGTTGTACGGGCTTTTCAGTGATGACAACATTTCTGGCTGGATTCCACTTTAGGCCCTCAGATGAATATATTTTTCATGTTTCATATGGAACACTATCAACTGGGTAAGATTGTACTGTGTTTAAAAAGGAAATTATATTGTGTGAAGTATGAAATGGCCTTGGGTTTAATGGAGGCCCTCTGTCGGCACCTGCTGCCCTTTAGGTGTTTGAAGTTGAAGTCGTGCCCTTACTGAAACCGCAGGTGACATATTTTGTGCTTTTGTATCACAACATCTGAGTAAGTAGGCCATTGACGCATTTTGGGTGTTGACTCTGATTAAGAATTATAGCTCTTGTAAAACATTTTATTGAGCCGGAACAGGATTACAACTCTGTAATGGAGAGGTAGTTTTCTTTAAAACTGTTGCGGGAATCAAACTTGAGACTTTTAAAGTTCATCTGCTGTATTCAAGTATCTGTAGCCTTTGTTTTATCCCCAGTTTCTCTTAGTTAATTTTTATTGGGCTACTTTAACAGCAGTGAGGATTCACCGACACATTGTAATCAGTTGCATTGTGTTACAGGAAACGATTGGGTTTTGAGGGTATGCATAAGAGATACAACGTAAATGAATGAGATGGAACTTTTGTTTTCTCATGGTGTTTGCTTCTGAAGCCGTGACATCATATTTTACGGGCTTTGTTTCTCGAGCTCTTGCTGCTTAAATCCACCACAGGATCCCCACACAGGCGTAAGCTGCTTAACAAAAGAAGATATTGTTTTCAGGACAAACTGTTGGTCTTCCATCAAATGTGCTGGTGCTGGTGGTGCTAGAGGTAAACTTCTCTGCATTTAGGCCGAGCACCTCTTTAAACAGTGTCATATTGCACATTTTGCGCACCAGGCACAGACACTCACAAGCAATTTAACAACAAACTATGTGTCCTTTAAATGTCAATATCACCTGCTGTTTTAATGCAGACTTACTTGTTGTATCCAGATCAAACACGTCATCTTTCCATCTTTCTAATATGCGCATGTGTTTATTTTTCTGGCCTGTGTAGTGTTGCTTTGGCAGTGTGCGCTCACTGAGAGAAATGGGAGAAGATGAATGGATGCCTCTAACTGAAAAGAGTGGGGCTATTTATAATAAGATGGATGGAGGGAGCGATGAGTCTCAGGGATGATAATTGAAATGAATTAAATATGTTTTTATAGCACAGACAGCAGGGAAAAATAGTGTCTAGATGAAAAAGTGAATGAGGGTGCATGAGAAAGCTGTGTAGCCATCACCTGAATATATAAAAGGCACAAAATGCGGCTTCCATTTATTCTAAACAGTTTGTTATTTCCACAGATTACATTTAGTTAACTGTTCCAAGAAACTTTAGAAATATTCCTTCAGTTCTAAACTGAAAGGAGTGTTTTCTTCCTAAAAATCAGTACTTTTTTATTGCGTATAAACACCTATATTTTGGAAGCAAATGCCTCAAAGACCCATAACATGAGCAAAAGACTCTAAAGTATATTGTGTCTATCACAGTTCCCTTTTACAAAACTTCCCACATGGTGTGTGTTTGTTTGGGTCTGAAAATCTTCTGTTACTCAAACAATCAAGTCAATTGTCACTAGACCTTTCCTTTTGATTACATGCTGTAGAATACACAATGTGTCCCTGAAAACTGTCTAAAGGAACAACTGCAATCAGGTGGTTAGTCTCTGCCCCATGAGTTTAAATGGCCAAAATAATGTTATCTGGATTCAATACCCCTGGTTACTTCTGGTTCATATGTGCATATTGATTTCAGGATGGATGTGGTGGTTGTTGTTGTTGCTTCTCTTTTAAACAAAGAAAACCTCAGTCTTCCAGAGGCCATCGAACCACCGGGACAATATTAACTCTCTCTGAAGGTTCCAACGTCATTTTCTGATTATTGCTTATTTTGTGATCATTGGCTGATGACCCCCAAAAAACTTCCGGCCTCTGTATAAACAGGAATACATATTTTGTGTTGACCGCATTCACATCTAACACAGATTTGAACATGAACATCTGTGCTGCTGGTCACCGAAACCCTTTTCTGTTCAACGGATCCATATGCTTTTTGGAACTTTTGCCAGTTTTTTAGCCCAGATTTTATGTAGCTCAAGGGATGATGAGAAATGGCATGCTGAAATTCTGCCTTTAACCTCTTTCTGTCTCCAGCCCACCTTCTTCTACACCTTGTGACCCACATGAAAGGATCTCATTAGAAGGGCTTGGCTAACCTATGAAAAACTGATTCACCCTTTATCCTTGTTTTTTATGGGACTTAAAAAAAGAAACGGGCGATGTTATTAGAATTTAAGCTGTTGAAAAGATTGGGACCATAGCAACACAAATATTGTGGCCTTTCTTAATAGTGTGTAAACACTGAAAAAAATACCCCTCAAAGAGACGCACTTCCTGTTTATGAAAAAATTCTGATCCTCCCAGCAATCTTTCAGCACCAGCTTTCTGAAGACTGTCATCTTGGCAGTTGTGGTCGTCCTCATCTTTGCTTGTGCAGGCATTGCTTCTTACAGCCGGGAAGCCAAATGTTTCCGCTGGAAAATGTGTATTTGTAAAGAAAAAGTGAGATTTGCCTACTAAAAATTAGCAGGTGGACCCAGATGTTTTTTTCCCCATCTAGTTCCCATCAGAGGTGAAGCATCTGATGCGGTTTCCTTCGCATGAGTTTCCTTACCACAGCGTTCTGAAGCCTGATGCCAGTGGAGGTTGACAGTTTTTTTTTCTTTTGTCATTCTGATCAATGGAAAA